CTTTGTATTCATCATCAACGATTACGCAACGTCAACAACGATTATGATATCAAAATGGACAAAATTAAAATCCACAAAATACAAAACTGACTAATACCCACTAATACCCACTAACAACCATGAGATATGCAGTCTGCACACCCTTCCGATGTTTTAATGTAGCTTCATTTGCAATTTTAGCAACTCACCACATTTAATAAACAACTACTTTGAAAAAAAAAATAAAAAACATATTTAGGTGGGACTAACAAAATATGAGGGTTGCAATGTTAAAACAGAAGCATAGTTCTACTCATATATTAGCCTTTCCTAACTTTGAATGGGCTACTGAAGTTGAAGTTGATGCCTGCATAATGAGAATTGGGGCAGTGATTATTCAAGAGGTGTAATGCATCAAACATTTCAACAACAAATTAAATAATACTAAATATGAATAATCTATGAGCAATAATTATAAGTTATTGTACGAGCCTTGGAACAGTGGGAAACACTATCAAATATGAAAGAATTTATTCTACGAAGTGATCATCCCTCAAATACACACATTAACTCCCAAAAGAATCTTTCTAGCATGCATGCCTGATGGTTCCTCTAGAGTTCACCTTCCACTTCAAGCACAGAGTGGGAACAATGAACCACCCAACCGATGCTCAAAGTTAGAGTGCCCATCTACTCATGCTATAAACTAAAGTGCTAGGATTCGAACCTCTAAAGAATTTATCTATTAATGATAAAGATTGTAATGACATTTCAAATAAATGTACTCAACAACACAACAATAATGATTTCTAAGTTGTTAGGTATTGCTCATATATCAGGTAAGGGACAGATGTTGGAGCGGAGTGGAGATCACGAGCGGAGTGGAGCGGAAGAAACTGTCTAATTGGGTGAGTTTCGTTAAGTGGGTTGGGGGAGCAAGGGCAACGCGTCCATAGTACGGTACAGGATAATTGTGTAATTATATATTGTACAATAGGGTTATATATATTTATGTTGTATTTGTAAACCTAGGAGATGTACTGTTTTCAAGAAATCAAAAGAGACCGCCGCTTATAGCTCCTGAGGGTGTTGGCACATTGCCAAATCTCGTTAAATCTTGTGTTCAATCTTGATTGTTCACAAGTTTCAACAAGCATTTTCGACTTGTTGTTAATGTTTTGTTGACTTACAACTAGTGCAATCTTCAATGGAGATAAGACTTGATTTTATTATAGTGCTCCACTCAAAAAAAATAAAAGGATATATATTATATTTTCATAAACCCTTCTAACAATAAAGAACCAACTTAGATCGATTTGACCATCCATCCACATTTGAAAAGTGGCCGGTGAGCAGTAAACCAATAACTAAAAAAAACAAAAAAAACTCACAGTGCTGCCAAACAATCTGTCTCAGAACCTCGGCCACCAAGGACGCTTCAACAACTTACTTGCTCATTTCCCAAACATACTTCTCACCGCATTTATAAAACCTAACCCTCCGCAGATTGCAGAACCGACGGGCACCAACATTGAGACGTCTTACCTAATGAGGAATCAAAATGGCTACATAAGCAAGCAAAAACAAAAGAGCCAGAATTTTCATGAATGCGGAGCGGGCCGGGGAGTCCGGTGCCGTGGAGATGACAATGCTCGATGATCATGAGCTCCAGAAAGGCAACACGGGAAGGCGGTTGAGAAGGGGTCGACAACTACCGCTTATCTTCTTCGCCGGCTCCTCTTCATGCTTTGCGATGTAGTTTTAGGATTTGTTTGGCATCAATTCCATATTTTGTTTTTTTTATTTTTTATTTTTGTTTTAAAAAAATATATTTGCAACAAACTAACATATTTTTTAAAACATTTAAAATAATTTAAAATTTAAGTATTTTGAGTATTTTTATAAATAAATATATTTAATCAAACATATAAAATATGTTTTATTTCAAATAAAAATAAAAATAAAAATAAATAATAAATAATTTATATATTACTATTCTAACCAGTAGAATATTAAAATTTTCACTAACAAATACAGACAAAAAATGATTAAACATAAAAATTATTTATTGTGCCATAATTTTTCTTTAAGAGGCGTAAAAATAATATTTTTAAAAAAAATTTTCTTAATCTTTTTCATCCAACTTTGGGACTCACACAACAAAACTTTATTAATTATTTTTCATAAATAGGAAATTAGTTTTAATAATTTTTTATTATTAATTATAAGAAATATTGAATTATTTCTCATAAAAATGAAATGAAATAATTAAGCAATTTCTAAGCTATAATAATATGAAGTAATCAAACGAAAAAAAAAAAAAGACCTAATAATTTATTTTAAAAAAAAACTTAACCTTTATTTTCTTAAGAAGAGCTGAATTCGGGTTATATGGGGCTGAAAAAAAGGGCGGCGAGCATGTAAGCTGAGGCTGAAAGTGAAATTGAAAATTCATTAATTTCAATGACACTAAAAATATTTATAAGTATCTTAGAAAAAGAATTTAATTTCAATGCACTTGAAAGAAATTGAAAATTTTTCTACTTTAAAATATTAAGAAATAGTGAAGATTTAAAAAAAATTTGAATACGAAATGTTTTATTTTAAAGTAATTTAAATGATTTGATATAAAAAATTATCAAGATAGTTGTTTTAGAAATATATTACACACGTTGCACTTAAACTATTATAAGTTTACATATTTAACGCCCAAATTTCACTATGTATACGGATGTGGCATCCAACAGAACTCTAAAGTCGAATGATATTTATAATAACATGAAATGATTTTGTTGTGTGATTGTTTTTCTTGATTCTTTTTAAAGCATTAGAGTCGTCAGCTTGTCTATTTATAAGCCGTCGTATAATTTTCTTATCCGAATAAATCTCCGTCCAAGATAATTTTAAATGATTCGAAGAGAAGATGAATTTAATAGAAAGGAAATACACCAAAAGATCGACATACAATTAAAAAGAAACAAGCGAAAAACTTATATATGGACAATACCCGTGTAATCGATCGAGAATATACGTTCGAACAAGATCGAATCAAAGTATCTCGAAACACAACATCCACGAAGTGAATTCCTATATAAACCAGCCGTAACTAGAGAATCAAAAAGATCAAATTCATCTAATGTGTTGTTTCTTCTTTTATTTGAGTAGATAAGAAATGGGCTTCACTTGTTTGCTTTGTAGACACCTACTATCACTCTTTGAATAGAGGCACACCTATAGCCTTGGCATTACTTCAGTAGTTTCAAAAACTTTCTCAGGAAGTTTTTCTATAGCTTTATTTTTTTTTTTGGAATCTCAATGAAATCATTTTTGGGCATATAATTTGATGGTAGTTGAATTCCATTGAGCGTGAATGGAATCAGAATTCTTAGGTCTGCATTTTTGGAGATAGCATAAGTGGTGATGCATTCTCTTAGACCATGCTCATTAGGCGAAGCTAGTGTGGTATGTTTCTGTGAGGCTTGTCCTTTTTTATAGAGCCCAAAGACATCGAGTTTTAACATCCATCCCATGGCCTGAGAGCTTAGATCTTAAATCCTGATAGCTATGCAAAGTGCTTGAGGTCACGGCATTTGACACTATCTAGCCTGACAATTTACATGATGTTCCAAGGCATACTAGAACTTTCACTCTTCTCTATGGACGAAGAGGAGGCAAACTATACAAAATATGGTAGAAACGCTTCATTCCATAAACATGAGCATGATTGTCTTAGCAAACTTCATTCTCTTCAAAATCAGTTGTGTGCACATGATGAATAGTTCTTGATTCTCCTTCACACCAAAATTTGAAGTCCATTCCTTTCACCTTGCCAGGATGAACAAGCTTCCATTTATGATTTTGGTGTTGCAACAATTGTTCGTGGTAATCGTTTCATCTTGGTCCAAATCTTGGCATCACTAAGATCCTCGTAACAATGAGCTGTCAAATGGTTTCACTAAGCAGCTACACACTCTTCAAATTGTGTATAATAAAACTAACTTGCTTTTCTTGAGGAATATCTAAGTCCTCAAATAAAATTTCTAATTCCTGATTCCAATCTAGATAATTCTCGATGTGAGGATAACCATCAAAATAAGAATAAGGGACATCAAATACAATTTCAAACTTATCTTGGCTGCGATAATAAAGGGCCAAGTGAAGTGGGTGAATGTTGTGAGCATGCCGGGGTCAAACATAAAGCCACCATCAAATCTAGGAATTTCTGCTCTAGCCAATTTACAGGATCGACAAGAAGGCCACAGATCTCGGTCCGCCCTAACCATGTCACAAATTTCTAGTGAGGGTCTTAGATATGATAGTTTGGTTGTCGGATAGAAGCCATTGTTATTCCTGAAGTGAAGAAGAACCCTTTACAATTCCCGAATAGAGGGTAGAAAGCCCACATCCACCATGTAGGCTGTGTTGGAGATCTGACAATATTGCCTGCTTCAATCGCCATTGCAAGCCGGACATCGTCATCTTTCCTCTTCATTGCCATCGGCTTTGATAACACCATGGTGCAAGGCTCAGATTGTTGAAGCAAGAAGGGAAGAGAAGATAAAAGAACTAAAAAGTTTTGTTTTAATTAAAAACTTCGAAGTTACCAAAAAAAATGTATCTCCTATCCTTTCTAGAGGAATACTAATATGATTAGCCCCAAAAAAAGAAAACTAAATAAAGCTTAAATATAATTAAGCCACTATTAAAGTCGATTAATAACTTCTAAATATGAAAAGTCAAACTGAGGAAAGCAACTGCATCACTTTCTTCCTAAAGCAAGAATCAAGCCCAACTCAACTTTAGTATGCCCCAAAATTGTGGATTCATCAAATAATCCGTCAATGTTTGCAGTACTTGAAATAGCAATGCAGCTAGCTTTGAAACGAACGCATTCACAAATTATCTACCAATTAGTTGAATACAATTAAATTAAGTTTGGTTTCTGTCGCAATTAGCAATTAGCAATTAGCCAATTACCAAACTCAACAACACAACAATGTTATATACGCTACAGTTAGCAATATGCATATTGCATAATATAACATTAAGAAATGTATCTTAGTAATAGTAACAGTACAGAAACCTTTAACAGGTTTTTAAACAGATATCAAGCACGTCCACATTTGTGGAAATCATACAATTTTATCCAACCCGAGCAACTGGAGCACCTACTATTTTGATAATTTAGATGGCTCCATGTATGGTATAATAAATTCATTTACTGTAACCAAGGTATATATATAAAGTGTATATATGCAACACAATTAAGAACTGAAGCCACCGTTCCAATGCAGCCATGCTCAATATTATTATCAAACTTCAATGGCTTCCTCACAGTTAGAGAGAGAAAGCTCAGTTCCATCCAAATTCTGCTCGATGCGTTCTATGTAACCAAGCACCACTTCCAGGCTCTTGTCGTCTAAGAAAACAACATTGTAAATTTACAAACTAATGTTGGAAATGAAATATTAATAATTACTTTAGATTTGACAGTTTATAGCAAAAAAACAAAAAAAAATACTACCTTTTATACTCAGCAAAATTTATACATGTACAAATTAAAAATAGCATTTGTTACACGTCGTTCAATTACATAACAGAATTATTAATGGATTGGTAATATAATTAGTAAAAATAAGCAGTACCAGAATGTCAAGAATGCAGTTATATGCATGTTAGCATGCTAGAGTAATGTAATAAATAGCAAATAACTATTGAAGAAGCTTTAGAATCTTAGACCTTAAGTGGGCTGACATTAGCTATAAGCATAAGTCTATAATAAAAAAAAGGGACAATTTACACACATAGCATCCAATTCCTATGTATTTACATATCTTACACCTAAGATTTGCTTTTTACATTTATTCCACCTAAATCTTTCATATGACATAAAAATACCACAATTTCAACTTTTACAGAGTGAAATACACCTCATGCACAGATAAGGTGGTATATATATGTAAAATTTAAAGTTCAAGTGTTAGATATATTTATATGTAAAATTTGAAGTTCAAGTGTTAAATATGTAGATATATAGGAATTGAGTGATGTGTACGTAAATCTTCCTAAAAAATTTGATGAAGATGCAAAGCTCAATGTTGAATGGACATTACTTATACTAACTAATTATGCATTAATTAACAAAGGAATAGAGTGGATAAAAAAAACCAAAAATTAATTAGGCTTCTTGTGTGCTTGTAAATTCATAGCGGAAGAGTGATATATTAACATTTTAGTGTTGTACGAATATCCGACACACATATATGTATAAAGAAATTGACAGGGAAGGCGACATGAGCTATTATGTGAAAAACGCAGAAGGTTAAGTCCAACTTTAAGGAGTGCATAAATACCTCAGGGTCAACCCCATGCATACGAGGCGGGGCGCAAGCAAAGATCACTTAATTCTAAAGGAGAATTTATATACTCTAAACTTTGCTCTTCAAAGAATAAAGAAATAAGTTGTACTGTCCGTGAAGGATGCATGCCTAATAGTAGAATATGAATCAAATCTTCCAATGGAGATGCTTGTTGGGATATTTCTTTCTAGGAGGTCAAAATTTTCAACATTAAGAGTCATAGATGAGTGCGATTAAGCTTGTCTAAGATAGCAAGAATGTGATACCTGTTGATTCCCACACAACACCAACTCCAAAAAGGCTTGAGGATTTAAGCTTGAGGTGTGGTACATAAATAATAATATTAAAAATAGACTAAATTGGTCTTTCAAAGATAGCATTATATATTGATTTTGACTTGACAACAATAACTAGAAAGAGTGAGTCATCTGTCAAAAAAATTCTCATTATGACAGGAAAAGTAATTGTTCCTTCGAGTATCACTGATCGATTATTAAACATGTACAATGGCCTAAATGCAAGTTGAAGTTTTTCCCTGGTCAGCCCCAGAGTGAGAAATATTGAGTAAAATAAGACATCAAATAAAGTTGTCACTGTCAATTAGAATTCTTCTCATATTATAATAGGATTCGTCGATTCCTGCACTTATGATGGACGGGTCTTGATGAGAGATTTGGACCCCCTCTAAGTCAAATTCAACAAAAGCGATGGGATCGATTTGCAACTGTTTATTGTCTCAGTTCCTCAGATACGGTGTGAAATAAATGATCATACAATAATGGACCTTCGGTTATCGTTTTAATCTCAACAACCATTTGAAGGCTCCCTTGTTGTTATTTTGTGTGTTTATTGCCCCTTAGCGGGAGCGTTATCTGTATGGGTAGGCCTTTTTGCAAAAATTGACTTAAGTGTCGAGGTGTGTCTGAGATGGAAATAAGGTTGGGAGAATTAATTTATAATCTCTTAAATGGAATTAGAATTAATTTGTAATCACTTGTGTAGCATTCAAATGATATTGTAGGATTTCCTCATTAATTTGTAATCCCTCAAATTGAGTTTTTTTTTTAATTTTCTTTGATCTTACCACTTCTGGTAGTATTTCCGCTTTGCTTGCATTTGCCGCAATGTAAAACTATTTATAATACCATGTATTATTACCATGTATTATCAATTCAAAAATAGAAGGAAATACAAAATTATTTTTTCTCCTTTCTGATTTACCACATGGTATCAGGCCAGGTTCCAACCCTAGAGGATTCCACCCTACAACCGCTGATTCCTTTGCCGCTCCCGCTGATTCTTTTGCCGCCGATTTCCTGCCGTTGTTACCTGTATCCCCTTGTTGATTCCTTTGCCGCTCCCGTTGATTCTTTTGTCACTGAATCCTTTATCGCTGATTCTTTTGCTGCTGGCGCCTCCCTACAGAAATTTTAATCAGATTCCCGTCTCTATGCACATAAATTTCAATTGGATTCCTGTTTCTATGTCGTGAGGCCTCCCTACCCGACTGGTTTTTTCTATGCAACCGGCTATTCTTCAGCCTCTGTATCTTGAAATATTCTGGGATTTCGTATTCTTCTTCAAGCAACCTTTATTACTGTGTTTCTCTTCTCTGGGTTTCCTTTTCTGCATATTCCAGCCTTAATTGCTGCGAATTTCTCTTCTCCACCATGTCAATGTCCGAACCCACTGTCTACAACAATTCCGACCCTTCCGAAGAATCCAATGCGGTTCAGAAAATTGGAGAGTTGCAGAATATTCGGGCATCCAACAAGTTCAATGGGAAGAACTATCTCAAATAGTCTCAAATTGTCCGCACATACCTAAAGGTTAAAGGAAGGCTTAATCACATACATGAAATCGGACTAGAAAAAAGGATCCAACCTCTACCGCATGGGATGAGGAGGATTCCATGATTATGTCCTGGCTATGGGATTCTATGGACCCAACGATCAGCGACACTTGCATGTTCTTGAATACTGCAAAGGAAATTTGGGACTATATCAACCAAACATACTCGAAGGCCTTTGATGCTGCCCTTGTGTATGAAATCAACGAAAAAAATCGGAGCCACCAAACAAGGAGACAAATCTGTCCAAGAGTATGACCAAAGGAAAATATGTTGAGATTTTCATACCTATTTTACACTGATTTTGATGATACTGCACTTTAAAGAAAGATATTTTTAATATTTTGTTGCAGGTATGATGAATTATGGTCATTGGAGCAAAAAAAATGCAAAAAAGAGCGAATTTGGAACGAAAAGAACTAAAATATGAATATTTGAACTAAGGCGCCAGTGGCGAGCCCAACGACGCCGACGACGAGATTTTCCCGAGAGTCCAGATCAAATATTTTAAAAGCCCCGCCGACGGCGAGATCGGCGGTTATCTCAACAGGTGCATTGAATGTGGACGATTTTTTAGGGGATGCTTAGACAACTCTTGGAAAAACTCTTCTACATATTTAAAAGAAGATTTTGGGCAAAAATTGAAAGGGGGGGAACAGCGTTCAGGATGTTCCAGTAGTGTGTAGAGAGTTTAATTTAAGGTTAGATTGTGAGGAATTCTTCGAGAGATTATAAGAGTGGAGGGAAAGTGAGATTTCTTCCTCCTTGTCGCTTCGAAGAAGAATTCTGTGTACTGTAAAGAAATGAAGAGATTTAGAGAAACTTGGATGAATTTGCTTGGGAAGGAATTAGAGATAAGTGTTATTTACTTGTAGTTTGTATGACTTTGCTTTTATATATAAATTCC